AATCATTGATATGGAAAACAGGGCCGTGCACGTGTGGGCAGCTGAGCGGAGGAGTTTGTGTTCTGTTTGCGTTATTCGCCAGAAACCATTAAGAGAGTCAGAGAATGGATTTGGAACATGCATGGATTTGATGCATATGTTGTCAATAGCCTGTTTTCTCAGTTTAAAAATAATCGAATATATGGATCAATCAGTTGAATGACAAGAGTCCACCGCAGGTTTTTTGAAGGTGAACAAGTAAAAATGTATTCTCTTCTTTATATTATATATAAATTATTAGTCTAGACATGGAAAACTTTCCACTTGCTGCATTTCTCTTCTCTTTGGTCACTTTCATCAGGGACTTTTTTTTCCTGGAGAGCAGGCGGATTGATACGAAAGGTGTAAGGTGAAGCTGTGATTGACATGTGGGTTGGTTGATGAATGTCAGTCACAGCCCTGAGATGCCAGCTGGCCCTTCTTCCCCCACAGACTAGATTTCAGTGACATCACATCAAATGTCCAAACATACTTCAGATATATCACAATTACTGCTTTTCAAAATGAATGTGTTTTTGTGCTGCCTACTGTTGCTTTAATACAGAATTGATAATCTCGTTATTTACACACACTGCTGGGAAAAGTTTTCATTTCATCGAAGCACCTTGAGTTTAAAATAACGTCTCAACTCCCTACGTGTTTGTGGAGGCTTAAGCCTTGTGTCCGAAGCTTTTTTCCGAACAGGACTGTAGGTAAGTCTAAGACCGTCAAGATGAGAATATTGTCAAGTGTGTTGTGAGAGACTGTGAAAAGACTAAAGCCCAAATCAGAGTGAAAGACGTTTCAGGTTTGTGTCCTTCACAAAGCTAGATGTTTGGTCACTAGAAGTACGGTAATAATTTTTTTTTTCACCATCCCTGAGTTGTCCTTAAAAAAAAAAAACTTTTTACCTTTCAGGTCCAAATCTGTGTCGTAGTCAACTATAGAGTTCACAGGCTCTTGTCCATCTGGCTCTCCCTCATCATTCTTGTCCACCACCTCGTCATCCTCTTCACCCTCTTTCTCACCTCCACCTAGAACATACCCCTCAGGAGAGAATGACCGGTCCTTCAGCCCACGAATGACAACCCGTGTCTCGCCTGTTCTTTGCTGGATGGAGAAGAAGAAAATTTGATATCATGACAGATCGAAAACCAGCCAGCTGCTGCCCCCCGAGTCCAGAGGATGACATCTGAAGGACTCTCCTGATCTGCCAGGATGAAACTGAAACCTCAACTCTGGAAAGCCAGGTGAGTGAGCCTTCAAAATACTCAGGAAATGAGGAAATATTTAAAAATTATATCAATTTCATTCTTTTTGTTCCACATCTGGTACAGACACAAAGTTTCTGTTCTTCTTCTCAGGTCCTCAAGACATTTTAAATTAGAGGCTCATCTGAGCTGCAGACATGCGTGCGTATCTATTTTGAGAACTCCGCACTTTTTAAATTGTTTTTATCATTTAAATTAAAATGAAATGTTGCTTGTGTACGCGGGGAGACAGCAGAGGTTGAGAATTGTGGTCCCTGGTCTAAGTCTGTATGTAGTTTGTTTACTTTTTTTTCTGGAGGTTGAGATTGATGGATTGACATGGTGTAAGGTGAACCTGTGATTGACACGTGGGTTAGATGACGAATGTCAGTCACAGTCCTCAGATGCCAGCCAGCATCGGTACCTCCCATGTGGAAGTGGCAACAACTTTGAGAACTGAGAAATTTGAAAAACATCACAGAATGCAACTTGTTTGATCAGTCTCCTCTCCTCTGGGTGTCAGGTCTGTCTGTTTCCCGGTTATCACACTCACCTGTGTCTGCAATTAGCCTCACCTATGTCACCTGGTACTCCCTGTATATATACCTCTCTCCCTCACTCTCTCCCTCACTTGTGGGATCATTAAGTAAGTGACTGTCTGCATGAGTGCTGTCTTTGTGAGCTGTCTTTGTGAGTGCTGTCTTTGTGAGCTGTCTTTGTGAGCGCTGTATCGTTTGTGCCAGCGTTGTGTCGAGCTTTTTGTTGTAGCTGTTTCTAGTTTGTTCTTGAGCAAGTCTGTTGCTGTGCTCAACTCTGTTCATGTTCTCAGCTCTGCTCGACTTTGCGTACGCTTTTGTCCTGGTTTTTGGAATTTTGAATCTTGAAATAAACTACCTGCATCAGTCCTGCATTTGGGTCCTACCTGCTTCCTGCCATGTCAAGGGCTCATCATGACACTGAGTATGAATTACCAACCTGGTGACTCTTAGGAACATACGGTATATGTTATATATATAAAAAAAGAATTCAGGAAAATATATTTTCCACGTCATTTAAGATCACCCTATGCCACTTATGTGGTTTTATACAAATAAACACACATTTTCACCAACGATCACTTCACTGGTTGGTTGACTTACCTCCACAACCTGCAGCTTCTCGTTGGTTCCTTCTGCTTCATTGTTCATCAGCATGTCCCCTAACGTCCACTCTGCTAACAGTGACTCTCAATAACTTTGATACTTTCCAAGCTTCAATCACATCTGTCGCTAAAACATTCACTGGGTGAGTCGAATCCCTGTGCAATC